TGGAGCATTGTAGTGGCTAACAATGGCGATTATATAATTGATTAGTTTTTATTTCATGTTGAGTTAGAAATTAAAGGAAAAAAATCACAATAGTGACAGGACTTTCTTTCCAACCTATAGTTTTGACTTGATTTTTGTGTATACAATCCGCAAGGCATTACCGTGTTTGCCAAGAAATTCATAGCTCTCGCCACAGGTACAGTAATGAGTTAATCTAACAGGTTACGGGACAGAGACTGATAAGACAGCCTTCATACTTTGCGGCAGCATCAGCGGCACAAGGGGTTCGAGCGTGAGCGACCGGGAGAGTATAGATGTCAATCTGGCGTGTGCCAGCGTCGATCAGTGTGCACGAGCCTCCCAGCCTTCGCCCTCGTCTACCAGCGTCCACCAGCGTCTTGAGGGCCTGGGAAGTATGGTGCTCATCATTGCAGACCGGTGGGGCGGATGAGCCGCGCCGCGTGTGACTCGGCTGTGACGCGACTGTCATCGCTGCCGCGTCACAGCCGAGTCACACGCAGCGCGGCTCACCCGCATCACCGGTCTGTAATGATGAGGACTGTGCAGGCATCGATTTAGCGTCTACCAGCGCGTGCCAGCGTGCATTCGGGGAGAGGAGAGCATGGCGCGATAGGAAGAAACCAGCGTCTGCTACTCTCCTATCGCGCCATACTCTCCTCACTCCATGCTGGTAGACGCTGGTGCAGCTGATAGACGCTAGATTGACACCTATACTTCCTAGGCCCTCGAGAAGCTGGGGAACGCTGTAGACGCTGGCAAATGTTGGGAGACGCTGGCGGACGCTAGGTCGATATGTATACTTTCCCATTCGCTGGCAGTGCCGGATCTTGAAACGCTAGTGGACGCTGGTAGATGCAGGTGGACGCTGCAGCAACGTATGAACGCAGCTCAAAGGCAGCGCCCACGTTCATTTGATGTTCTCGTGCCCTCTTTGGACACCACACCCCTCCCTATGAGGACGCAGTATTAACTAATTTTGCATCTCAAAAAATCGAGAGGATAGTGCTTTTCGCTCGTGAAGAGTCGGCCGCTCCGCCCACCCGGTTAGCATGGTTCTATATAGGGCATTTTCCATGATTTTTTTTTCTGCTTTTTTCATCACTACTGGATCATGTATTATATGAGCTCCATAACTCATTATTCTTAAAAGCGGGCTCAGCCTTCAAAGGCTAAGCCAAAGCAGTCATGGCAGCCAGAAGAGCGGGGCGACATCCTCTTGACAAACGGGTGGCGTTATCCTTTCGCATTTTTGAGCTGCGAAATCAATACTCCTTCACCCTTGTTGACAAAGCTACGATATCTGAGGAGGGCGTAGGAACATCAAATGAATGCAGGCGCTGCCTTTAAAGGTACGGGCCGCGATCAGATTAGAAGTTGAAAATATGGCATCGGGCGTGTAGTGCCGCTCGCGAGGAACAACCTTGTAGCGGTTTCGCGACGAAAAATTGCAAGGAAGGGGCGCTATAGCAGAATATAGGTTCACTGACGCCTCCTTTTTCCAGTGACTCCGCCTTCAGACTCCGCCCTCAAGGGCCGCCTCTCAATGAAAAACGAAGCTGCAGGACGAAAAAGCATGAAAATCGTCACTTGTACGGTCATAGAGTTCTTATAGGAATTAGCTGTGCGGAAAAGGACATAGCGTTGAACACTGAGGTGATTAGACACCTACAAACTGGCATCGCAATGGGGGTTCTATTAAGGGCAGTTGGCATGTCTTTTCTGCTTTTTTCCGTCACTACCGAGTTACTCAGAGCCTTTTCGTCCATATGCGAAATCCTAGTCCACTAACTGTGATAACGAATGATCGCGGGCCTTGCCTTTAATGGTAACAAGGAGCGACTACAGCTAATACGTGCAGACAAGGGGCGAGAAGTTTATAAAAAGCCGCTACGTCTCTTTGCAACTGTGATGCGATTGTTATCACTGAACTATCAGGCTTCCAGTAAGTGGAGCACAGAATATGAGAGCCAGCGTGTCTTTAAGGTTGAAGGAAGTGTAAGCCAGGTCCAATACAGAACTTTTCTTCAGAAAACTTTGCCAGACGCGCCACGTTCAAATGAGGCATTCGTTTCTGTAATAAACGCATTTCCGGATTCATCGTGCAATTTTGATCTCAATATTGACGAGTTTGGTACCCGCAGAATCGTGGCTAACCATGTAAGGTGCCCTATAGGACTTGTTTCACTCATCAGTCATTTTCAATTTCTATCCACGGCAGCCGAACTGTCGAAGGAATATCCGTCCCTGATCTTATTTCAGTCCAACTTTTAGTCTTTAATGGATGACAAAGATCGCGATATTACGGATGTGATAAGAATTGAACATGAACCATCGTTGAGGCGCAAATTTTCGTTTGTGAGGTAAGCAACATGCATCACTTCAAGCGATTTTCTAGCGTTACATCTTGCAGCACCAGTTCAAACTGCCCCACTCACTTCGAGATTGAACCACATTTCGAAGGCGGTAAAAGCTACCTCATTGTACTTGCTCCTGGTGGTTGGGCAATTCTTACTAATGATTGGAAAAAGCCGCAGAAGGGACGTGGACAATTCGCTCTGAGGTTAATATCATTTTTGTATACTTCTCAGCACACTAACAATTTCGGTCGACTGGGTGTGGTTAGGAAATTCAAATGCGAGGTTGAGCAGCCGTGGATGCATGGATGTGTGCAATTCTCCCAATCATTAGCATTACATAACCGCGAGACTTGCCACACAACCAGCCATATTGCTTGATGCTTGGCTCAGCCTTTTTCTCAGTGTGCAGTCTCAGTTTGGTATCTTGCATTCAGGATATCTGTGAGGATAAATGTCCAAGCCGAGGTACGTCGTAGGCTGGAAATCCCCAACAGGATGTCGTATTGGGCGTTGGAGAGGATAAGGTTGTAATTGGATCTGGAAAATTTTCTTGGTTGATGATTTCTTTCGTTTCACTCTCACTACCCTCCCCGTCCCTTGTCGGCCGCATTGCAAAACTACTATTACTCGTCTGATGGTTGATCGGAGGCGTCTCTCCCTCCCCTCGTTCGACGATAAAATTATTGAGAAGCCTGACAAAATGGCTTGCAAGATGACAAGGGGCCTCGTACCAAATGCGGTTATTTTGGGGAGGAGGCGGGGTTCGCATTTCATTCTGCCCTGCGCCAGGATACACCGGATTCCAATAGAAAATTCACTTACAAGGAAAGGATGGTTGGTCGAAGTGGCCATTTGAAATGAGACGTATACTGCCCGATGGACCCTTGGACGCTGATTACAAATCTGCCCTCCATATTTGCTAAACGATTCCCTAGACAAAGTTATGCAGGATTTTTGACCAGGTCACACCCATTTCCGGCATGTATATGAGGTGCTCCAAATTGCCCAAATTGGCTGGAATCTGAAACTAAAGGTGCTTCAGTGCCTGGAAATCAACACTGCAGTTATATTTCGTGAAAACGTCTTGTACGCATTCTGGAAGGGCAGGGTATGCAGGAACCTGCAACGTCCTTGAAGCGCTTTTACACCGAACGAGTGTGATATTCGTGCTCTGGGCTCAAATTAGCTCAGAGACAAGTTTTCCCAAATTTGAGATTTCGACCTATTTTCGGTACAGTGGGGTAACCATAGGCAGCCAATTCCTGAAGGTTGCTGGCACTATCGCCGAGTCAAATCTCTGTGAGCAGTGGAGGTTCCTCGCTAAATCTTAGTCCTTGTTGTTTACTGACGGTCCTGATAACAACCACGACATCCACTTTTGGCTTCCATGTCATCTGGAATTAGTTTAGCCTCACAACACGATGGAACGAACAATGCCGCCAAAACCAACAATCAGGAGTTCCCACTGGGAGTGTTCCAGAATAGCTCTATCACATCAGAAATAAAATTCTTTGGTAGAATCAGGTCTCCTAACCTCGTAGAAGTGCTTTCCGGATATGCAGGAGGCTTTTTTGAGAAAACGCAAAATGACGAACCATGGAGGGACTGCAACCTCTCACCTCGCATACTTGAGCGCGGCACACTACCCACCAGGCCACCGATTCACTTTGTGTGACGACTCTCGTCTCATTTGTCTACCAGCTCAATTGTGCTCCGTACAACAACGTCCTGCATATCTCTGCTCAGAGAATCGTTTAGCAGATATGGAAAGCGGATTTGAAACCAGCGTCCGAAGACGCATCAGTGTGTATGTATCTTGTCTTAAATGGTCACTTCGACCAACCATCCTTTCTTTGTTAGAATGCGACCACTCTTATTAACGGACAGCATAACAATCGCGTTCGTGATTAAGACGACATTCCATGCTGATCGCTTGTAAGGAGTTTTCCTGTTTTGCCTTTGACGATTTCCTCATTGCTGCTCCTCGTTTATGGCGAGAATGAGAATTGACAGTAAAAGGCGGAGGGATCCATCTATTTTCGACGCTACGACATTCGAGTACGAGGGAAATTTGTCTCTAACAGCCTACTTTTGGAAAATACAAGGAAACTGGAGTAGCAGTATAGCTGGGACTGGGTTTAGCTTGATTCATCTTATCCCATGCGAAAAACGGAAATCTGGAAGCAGTTCTGACTGCACAGCTCCAAATATTGTCATGTGCATGGAAACGAAACAATCCGACGCGAATTGCAAGAAAGAGAATGAGTAAGGCTTTGCTTCTATTAAATATCCTATTGAAATTTCGGAATTACCACGAAGTTTTTAAAGCGATCTCTACACATGGACCACTCATGAAGTTTCAAGGATACCGGTCCACAGTTACAGTACGGGTGATGTACTTTTTGAGGCCGACGTGCTTCATCGTAAAGACTTACTGACAGGAACGTGAGTCACATATGACATACCAACAGCTTATGTAGTGTTGCTACAATCTTCATAAAGGCTCTCTATGATTGTTTTTCTTTCTTTTTGTGTGGGATGAAAATAGAGTTACCAAGAAATTCAATTCTTAATTGCACCCCCACTGTCAGCGGCTTGGTCGGTGCCGTTTCAATAAGGTGCAGCCTTCTGATGCTGTGGGGACTGAGCCGGGGGGAGTCACGAAGCTAGATCTAATAAGGAAACAAGAATCCTGTTCAATCTCGATATTCTGCTGTTTCGGAGCCTCATGGGTAGCTGAATGTTGTAAATACCGCAGTCTTTTCTACACTTTCGAAATCTTGGCCATAATATTTCGGGAGCCTATTTGCGTTATTTGCAACATTAAGATTTTGCCTTGACCTTGATAACATCCGTCCTTCGCTCTATGTACTTGTAGAGCAAGCCGTAATAATCAAGGACCCGCTAAAGAACGAACAAAGTTGCTCTAGAGGGAGGATCTATTCCGAAGGTCTGCGAGGCTTTGCTGGTTCTTTCTTTTTAGCGTCCTGGCATCCCTACTTCAGCCCCATTTGCCTGCAATTTTTGGTCTGGAGTTCTGCTCTACCACAGTTCGCGGTTAAGTAGTGAAGGCTTCAAATTTGATTCCTAATTGACACGCCAGTGAAGAGAAACCGAGAACCTTTGAAGAACCGTAGAACATCCTTATTAAGAGCAGTTCTTGCTCTTCGAACACTTGTATAGTGTCTGACCAAGAACTCGCAGATGCGCGACACTGCTGCGCGGACGAATGAGCAGATACAAGGGATGGGAGAATAGAAAAGAGCTGTATGAGGAACTAGACAGTACAGGCCTGTCCTTCGAAGACCTTTATCCAATAGCTGCTACAGCGCCCCCGTTACACACTATGGAGCTACGAATGTAGGACATCCTCCGGTAGTGCGGACGGACTACATCGCACAATCAGTAGATTTATGCAGGTAGAATGTGTCTCTGATCGGGGACTTACTGTTCGTCGGAATGGCGCGTGAAAAGCGAATAGGCAACTACTCTCTGGTGCAGTTCGATTTCACCGGCTACATATACATTTTCAGATATGAAGTGAAATATCTAAACCATCGCAGCAGCGGTGCGGGAACGGTAAGTTCAGCCGTCAGTCGTTGTGAGCGGACGTCATCTTCTGATTGCACAATGCACCAAATGTAGCCTGTTTTCTGAAAAAAATGGGATTGAAAATTTCTAAGGGCAAGCATACACCTGATAGTCTATCAATTAAAACTTTTCAACTTTAGGACAAGGTGAAACTGGACGGCGTTTCAATCACACAGACAAAGATGGGAGGCGTATACGCGATGGTCATCACAGGAACAAATGCTACGTATGAAGTAAATCGCTCGTTACCACCATACTGAATCACATTCACACTTTGCAATAGAGGAGAATTGGCGATTTGGAGATTACGCTGGGAGAATAAGATAGTTAAAGACAGTCCCCGGTCTCGAGCAACACGTAGGCGTCCTTCTTCGTATATGTAAATAGTGTGGCCAATCTCTGAGATTATGCCACTCGGCTCCACAGTGAGCAGCGAAGACGCTGCGGCTCTCACAAGTGGCATTGCTGACCCCTCTCGTCCCGCCCACCGGAACTTGAATTCTATTTTCTGTCCAGGTGCAGTTTTTCGTTGCTTTTTTGTTGCTAATGGTATTAGTATTGAACGACGCGGAGAAATCACTAGTGAGTCAGAGGTGGCACGATATCGCATTTCTGGCATAAAACGAGCAGTCCTCGAAAACACGTTCAGAGAGGCGACAGGTCTCCACACAGGGTGTTCGCCACGGTTTTTTTCGCGTTTCTATTCCCTGGGGAGTTATTTGGCGACTTTAGGTTTCTAAATGAAGCTCCAAATAAGTCGTGGGTTTGTCGTTAACGATAAATCTGACGCCGTCCAACCCGAGAATCGTTAGCTCGCTCTAACAGCAATGCAGGTGTGAAAAGCCTACGGTAGCAGTGTCTTCATAATTCTGAACAATGTCTTATATTTATATTTATCTTTGTTCGAATCCTTAGCATAGTGCATAATAGCTCATCCCTTTTAAGTGGCATCTGCGAAAGCAATACATGCTCATTGTCAAATTTCTTCTTCCTTCAAACTTCGTATTCTTTGATTTTCTTGTTGGAGGAACCACTATGTTCCTCTAACAGGTTCCTTTCGGAGCATTGTCCGATTCTTCGGGGTCACGAGAGATAAACGCGACCCGTCTATGTGAACTCTGCTGAGAGTGCTCACCTCATCATAGTTGGCACAGCGAATGTACTCCCGTGTCACGGATTAGCATAGCGACCGCGCTTGTGGAGGTTCATCAATCATAAAGCTATATGTGTGAGAATATTCTTCCGTCTCTGGGTTAACAATGACTCAAGAGGGGAAGCGGTTGGATAGCGTGCCCGCCAGCTGTCTTATGTGTGTTTCTGGAACGCTGCTGACCGTAATTGCCACCTCCACCAGGTATCTGCAGCCGTCCTTTTGGATCGGACAACTCGTCCAAAAGATTTTATCACCTTGCTTCTCGTGAGAGACTGACCAACACTGGCAAGACGCCAGTATAGACGCCGAATTGCGAACTGTGGGTTAGTTACGCAAACTCGCCCGTTTTCGAACCACATTTTGAATTCCTCCATCCAACCCTCCATTGCTTAATTGAAATCCATAAAATATGTGACGAATACCAGAATAGATCTGCAAAACCTTGTACTTCGCAACTCATCAATTGCTGTGTAAAAAAATTTCCTTGTGTTTAGCCCCTCAACTCTATTTATGAGTAGCAACTAAAATACTCTATTTATGAGTAGCAACTAAAATACTGTCTTTGCTGATGTCTTTGCTGACGAGTA